TGCTGTGATATTGTTGGTATGTTTCACAGATACAACTAAATAAATAATAATAAAGACTTGTTTAAGGCTGGTAGTAACAAAGTGTATAAAGACAGAATTTAAATGTGGTTCTTGTTTAGGTGCCTTTCTGATGATTCAGTAATCTGGAGGTCAGTGTAATGTAGCTTAAATAGTAATAATAAAATAATAATGATGATAATAATAATAATAAAAATCCAGAAAAACTGGTCAGGGTACAGACTGAAACCCTAACCCTACAGACTGAAACAGAGTGTAAAAGCAGCCCGTGTCCAAAGGAAAACTACAGACCTTCGGAAAGCTGGCTCAAGACAAAAAAACAAAACAAAAAACAAAACAACCTACAAGAAAGTTTTCTTTGAAGCAAACTATAAAGAAATAAGGGGAGACATGAGACTTCTGCAATGTAGTATAAACTTTGGCATTACAAAAGTATAACAAACTCAAGTTAAAAGTCATAACTGAAATTTAACTAATTGCTCACATGCACTTTAATGAGGAGTGTTGATCCAAAAAGGCTAAAATTACAAGAAAAACATTATAATACATACCTCACAGTAACTGCACTTGTAGAGTTTCTGTCTGGTGTGAATCTGTTGGTGGACTTTTACAGAACTCTGTGCTTTAAAAGTCTTCTCACACAGGTCACATTTATAAGGTCTCTCCTTGGTGTGGGTAAACCTGTGGATTTGTAATTGTTTGTATCTTACAAACAGTTTGCCACACTGTTCACAGCAATAAACATCCTGTCCGGTGTGAATACGCTGGTGTTTATTTCGATTTTCTATGTGGCTGAAAGTTTTTTCACAGATGTCACAGCTGTATGCCTTAATACCAGAGTGGGAAACCTGATGTTTCCTCAAGCTACTACTTTGAGTAAAAGCTCTGCCACACTGATCACAGCTGTAAGGTTTAACTCCTCTGTGGATGAGCTTATGCTTTACCAAGCCTTCTTTCCGGGTGAAACCCTTTCCACATTCATCACAGCTGTACGCTTTAACTCCACTGTGAATGACCTGGTGTGCTTTTAAGTTTCCAGGCTGGGTAAAAGAATTCCCACACAAGTCACATCTGAACGGTCTCTCTCCCGTGTGGATGACTTCATGTCTTTCTAGAAAATACTTCCGAGTAAAAGTCATCCCACACTCATCACAGCTGTATTTTTTCTCTCCCTTTCTTCTGTGAGGTGTGTCGGCCTCCTGAGAGCGCTGACTTCTCGCTCCATGTTGGTCCTGCAGTGACAGAGATACAAACATTGAGTGAAATCCAGTCAAACAAACTTTAAACTTCGTCCATTAATACTAGTTTTAAACATGAGATTGGAGCATGGCAGTCACCAAACACCTTGTAGGATGTGTTTTTAAAACAACCCATATTTTTATAGTTTACATTTATTTAATATTTATTGTCTGTGAAGGTTCTCAGTCATCCAGGTCATCGTAGCCTAAGGTAGCTTGGAAGGAAAACGTCTGGACTTCTTTAGGTTGCTTGAAGATGTTTCACCTGTCATCAGAGAAGCTTCTTCAGTTCTAGAGTCAACTGGTGGAGAGTCCCAGATTTAAACCCAGTGGGAGTGTCCCCCTAAAGAGGGACAAAAGGACCCCCTGATGATCCTCTACCTAATCACATGAGCCAAGATGTGAAAACGGGTGTGGGTCACAATCAGCCAGGGTTTCGAGTGAGCTCATTGTGACTCATAGCCCCACCCTGTCATGTGATTTCCTGACACCCTAAACCAGTTCTTTGCCCACTTTGACCAACAGAACAGGGACACCATCACTCTTCCTGCTGTTTCAGAGAGGGACAACACCCCAGCTGGAGCAGCATCAGGTCAGAGTCACACTGCACAGTGTGGCTCTGTGCTGCACATAAGATTACAAGTCATAAAAAGATTTAAAAAGAGAAAATAAAACAGTCAAAAAATTAACCAAAAGCAGTTTTAAAAAGGTGAGTTTTGAGTTGTTTTTTAAAAGCAGCTACTGAGTGCACAGTTCTTAATGTTTGGGGGAGAGAGTCCACAGTCTCTGGGCCACAGTGGCAAAAGCTCTATCACCCTTAGTCCTCCTCTTAGTATTTTTTAAAGCAAGTAAGCCCTGATCAGATTACCTCAAAGACCTGCTAGGTCTTTTATTAGATTAGATTAGATTAAATAAAACTTTATTAATCCCTCGGGAGGGTTCCTCTCACAGCTGAATAAACGTCAAACAGAAAACTGATTAAACAGAAGTGTGAGATGGTCGAAAAAAAGCGTCTGGTTATATTTTAGATAGCAAGGAGCAGACAGCTGAGTTTCACTCCACCGAGAAAGCTTGTGACGTAATTCTGAAGGCTAGATCGTCACAGTCGCTCATTTCCGGTCTACCCGGCTTTCGGAGGACCCGGCCCACTTAGACCGCGAAGGCCGGGTCCTCAGGTGGACGCAGCCTCTGAATTTGGACACCCCCGCTGTTTCCAGCCGGACAATAATGACGGTGACACTTAACTTATTTTATTCAATGAATAAACATTGTAAAATTCAAGTTTTTTGTACACATATATATATATATATGTATGTGTATTGTAATTTTAAATGGTTTGAAAGCATGTAGAATAGCATATGTAGGCAAGTATATTTCTCCTTTTTTATCAAGAAGCAAAGACAAAAAGGAAAAAACAAGAAACATGGCAGGGTTGGGAGGTTGAATCATCCGTCCCCACCAATGCTAAAACCAAATCTACACCCTTGGTGTACGCTGTTAAGTGCCAGGAGAACTGCCAGGATTTATACATCAGGGAAACCAAACAACCTCTGGCGAAACGGATGGCACAACACAACACAAAGGGCGATCGTGCCTCAAAGAGTTGGGTGTTTGTCTTGTAACCTGAAGGTTGCCGGTTCGAGCCCCGGCTCGGACAGTCTCGGTCGTTGTGTCCTTGGGAAAGACACTTCACCTACCACCTACTGGTGATGGCCAGAGGGGCCGATGGCGCAATATGGCATATGTTTCATTCTTCTGGTAACAGTGGCAGATAGGACTGCCACAATCGATTATTTTGATAGTCGACTAGTCACCGATTATTTTTGCGATTAGTCGAGTAATCAGATCATCATCCATTGGATGTAAAACGTATAGCTTATTGCACCAGCATCATCTGCTCTTATATAACTATCATTAGCTTACAGCTTTAAGTGTTTAAGGTGCTAACTAAAAATAAAGACAAGATGATAGTTTATTAAATTTTAATGA